TGGTCCTACCTATTCCACATATTCATTTATTTAATTTTTTTTTAGTACCTAGACAATATCTTTTATTTTTATATTGTGGTCTTCTAGCAGACTTTCTTTATTTTTGTTGGAATAGTAAAGAGCAATTTGTTGTTGGTTGGTTGATTTTGTTTAGTGACATATTAACCTCTATGAGTTATTTAATGCTGAAATCTAAATATTTTGAACGTAATTTTATGGCTTCAACTAAAGATAAAATATATTGTTGGGCATTTTGCTTTAAATATGTATTGTTGATAATTTTACTATAAATATGTATTGTTGGTTGGTTGATATTGCTTAGGGGTATATCAACCTCTATCGGTTATTTAATGCTGAAATCTAAATATTTTGAATGCAATTCTATGCCTTCAACTACTGATAAAATGTATTGCTGTTCATTTTGCTATAAAATTGTATTGTTGGTAATTTTACTATAAATAGGTATTGTTGGTAATTTTTTTATATAAAAATATATTGTCAGTATTTTTACTATAAAAATGTATTTTTATGCTTTCATAGTCTTTTGTTTGGGGATCCCTATTTACCCATATCTGGGACCCTAACAGGTGCTACCACCTCAGGTCAGGGTGGACCTGGGAACAGCAGCAATTAAAAGTTGATTCTACACTTCTCCAATCTTCCAATCAGAAGCCTTGCAGGACTAATTTGTTGTTGGAACACCAGTGTTGGAATGAATGATTTGTAGAGGTTACTTCTAAATAAAGATGTACTTCAATACTTCTGTTTTCCAATATAAAGAAAAATAAAATAAAATGGTGATCAAGTTGTTATAACAAAAAAAATGACAAACTGCTGATAATTGAACAAGGTACAAAGCATCTTATAAATGCAGTTAAAAGTTCAGTAAGAAAGTTTGTATTCATGCAATGAGTTACAAATTTTTTATGTAAGTAAGAAAAGGCAGAAATGCATTACTGATAGTTTCTTTAGTAGGCAGTTTCCACTGGAGTGGATTTATACCAAATGTGTTTATGTGTCTTGTCAGTTTTTCACTCGAAAAAATAACTGAATTATCTCTACCAGTGGAATCAGAAACAAAATTTTCATTTTTTTGCCATGTACTTTTAATTGGTTGAAAAATAATTTTTTGTTTTATCAGAAAAAAAATGCCACTAAGACACAAGGGTTTACTGAGTATGAAAGAATTAGAAAACAAAAAGGAGCAATCAGGAAGACAGATAACGATTGACATTGCATTTAAATTTTTGAAGATCAAAGTTGGCTGGAAAGCATTGATCTGGAGGAGAGTTCTACAAGCGAGAAGTGCAAGAAAAGAAATTGTTAGCCTAGAATTTACAGTTATATCTATCCAATTTGACTGTAAATTAATGAGACCTTGCTGCCAATCTAGTACTGTGCTTAAATTCATAAAGGTACCATAGTGGAGAGCTAATTTTTTAAGTTTTAATTTTATATATACTTCAACTGGAAGCTATGTATAGAGCCAGTTGTGCAGTGACCTATTTTTGGTCATTTCAACTTTAACTGTGTGTTCATATCCAATGTAGTGTCTTTGTCCATGACATTTTGTTCATAAAAACAGATTTTTTTTTTTTTTTGCTTAAATGAGCTGGATCTTTAGTAATATTAATAATTAAAATACCTAGTGTGTAAAGATTTCATATGCATGTAAAAAAATCCACTCTAAAAAGAGAACAAGCATCTATATCCTCTAACAGTAGATTAATATAAGATTTTGCAACTGGTCATCAGTCAGTCAACTGAAAAACACCATCTGGTGTACATAAATCTGTGACAAGCAACTCTATTTCTTCAAGGAGAGAGGCAAAACAGCTTAAAATTAAAACTCAGATAACTAAAATTTTATGGAAGCTTATATAAATCAGTATGTTGATAATTCTCTTGTTCCTGTAAACTGTGAGTAATAACATTTACTAAAATGTATGCAATTTCTCTCTATCAGACTGTTTATAATAAAAAGATACAGCTATAAAAATGAACTTACACATTTACATAAAAAAATGTTGATGTAAAATTGTAAATAAATTGCAGTTTTAAATTTGACCCAAATTATTGGAAGTTTATTTTCTATATTAACTGTGAATATGACAGATTACCAATGCACCATATATCTTGATATTCCAAAGTCTTCAGGAAAACTATTTATTTGTGCTCACACCATTTATTTACATAGGCTGAATCATTTGCACAATTCTTAGTATTTCACTCTTCCTACTCCTTCATGTCTGCTTTTATATCTAGAATATATTATGATAGTTTAGCCCCATGTTTCTCTACAAATCACTTGTGTTTTGGTCTATTTGGGCCTTGACTTAATTATGCAACTTTTGAAGACCTAATTTTGAAGCCAATTTTAAGGGTGTCCATCATACACAAGATATAAAATTAGTGTATGTACTGCTGGCTATGCCATTGACCAAACTATATATTCATTTATTGTAGTCAAAAAGTACAGCTGTATTTAAAATAAACATGATTTTGATAAAACTGATGTTTTACTTAATGTAATAATGCATGTAATATTCATATATTAATATTGTATTATAAAATACAAACATAGCGAATATGCATCTTTTCCATTGTCTACGTTTATAAGATGTTTAGCTGTTTTCCATACAGTTGTTTATGGCTGTATGCTTTTATGTAACGAATATAGCATTACTAACAATACTTTTACCATTCTCTTTTACTTTTTTAACTTATTTAACTAGAAGATGGGATAAAGAGATAGAGGGAAAGAGGTTAGTCTATTGCAATTTGGTCTCTCAAAAAAGGAAGTTGCATGATACATGAGATATATAATAAAATCATTTTTTTTATTTTTTCATAAGTGAAAATTTGAGGGTCACGAGAGTGCACATTATATGAGTATATATGGTATTTTTTTTCTGTGCTGCAATAATGAGATTCCATGCTTTCACAAATAAAAGGTTAGAAAGGAAATTCCCATCAATATTAGAAAGAGCGATAACAGCTACTGGACACAAGAAAGCTATTTCCCTGAAAAATTGTTTTAAGAGAAAGATTTTATAAATTTAAACACACTGTAGCACTTTCCATCTGAGACAAAAAAAGCACAAGGGTGGGGATCCTTATAATATCATTCTGATATTTAATCTCTGATGAGTATTTTTAGAATTTAGAAAACCATATTCAATACGTTGACACAGGAGCTACCCGTACAAATACATCTGCTTTAATTCAGCTTCAATAGTTAGTGAGGCTTATGGCCATATCATGTTAAACACTGGTTCTTGTACAATCACCAAAGTTAAGCAACATTGAGCTTAGTCAGTACCTAGATGGGTGACCACTTGGGAATACCAGGTGCTGTAAGCTTGGATGTACAGGTGGTGCAATGGATAATGGTTCAGAATTGGAAATAAGAGAGCCGAATTCCAATTCCAGTTGAATTTGTTATATTCACATGCAAATAACCTAGGGGTAGGTATGAATCCACCTCTTCTGTCCCCTCCAGCTATGGGTTAATTAGTAGGACTTGTATCAGTAAATCATTATTATCTCTAAAATATTCTTACAGTCTAAAAATATTTTCTGTTTTTAAATAACCTGCAAAAGGTTGGTAAGTTGTAAAAAAACAAATCAATCAAAATTCTGGCCTAAGATATTTTTTAATGTTATTCATGTGTTATATTCTGTGCTAATAGAAATATATACTTGAAAAATAAAGTGGATAAAATAAGTAAAGGTTTATTGTACAAAACCAGTACAATAAGAATAAAGGTAACAGTTATGCACAAGGTCGTCACAAGTCAATTCAGTAGTGAGTGCTTCTATTGAAAGGTCGGTAGTTCTTGTGTAAATCTGAGTCGTACTCAACATATCCCAGCTAGTATATTTAGCTACCCCCCCACGAGGGTTGCATGTGGCACAAGGCCGGTTTAACATGGGTTCTCCAAGCCCGTAGACTCAGCCAAAAATATTCCCATTTTGAACCCACATAAATGGATTCAGGAGCAGTCTACCTCCCCTAATGAGACTCTGCCCTTTGGTGGAGCCTTGTCCGGGTTCCTCTCTGACCGAAGGCAGAGAGTTCGACTGTTTAGCTGGAACAGATCTCAGCTAGACTCTGTAGTCTGTTGCCTTACGGATACTTATAGGTAGTCACTACCTATAGTGTAGTCACTTATGGGGGTGACAAGTTATTCCATTACATCAATATGTAATAAAAGATAGCTGTATTAGGGTTTAACAACTTTATACCCAGTAGCTGTGTAGTGTTTGTAGTTTTTATAAAAATTTTGTTTTGTTATACATTGAGGAATTGGAGAGCTGAGTTCCAGTCAAATCCATTACATTCACTTATGTGCTTGGGAAAGGTATGAATCCTCTTCTTCTCTTCCCAGCTGTGGGTAAATAGCAGGACAGACTGGGTTCTATAACCTTGGATGGCAATGGTCTACTGCAGAAAGAAATGGCAACCTATTGCGGGAAAAAAATCTGCCTCATCAGTCATGTAATGAGATATTTGATCGCCTAAGCATGTATCATGCAAGTCACATAAATGACTGACTGAGATAATGAATTAAAAATAAATAAATAAATAAATGAAAATTTAAATAAATATTTTACTTTTATTTTACTTGTTTTAATTTTTTTTTTTTTACAAAATACTATTATATATTGTTATAGTCCAGTTTTTTTACAGTGTGCATCAAAAATACCTCCCAAATAATGGTTTGACATTAGCTTGATGATGACACCATTGCCACTAATGTCTTACCATTATGCAGGAGATATTTCTGACACACATTGTATATTGAACCTCAAGTAGGTTTGTCCATAAATTTAACTTCCCTTGTATCAATGATAAGAATAAATTGAATATAAAAATTACCTTTTTCTTGTATTTACATGTTTTTATGTTTTTCTAATAGGAAGATCCTTTTCTTCTTTATTTATATTCTTACTTTTTTTACTACTTGTTTTATCACATTTTTCTCTTTGTTTTTCAGCATAATGTTAAATTTTCATCCAGTCAACATCGCCTGTGTTGCCATGGAAGTCACATTGACTAGTGCTGATGGAAAGTCTGTGTGTTGCAATGCAGACATCCTTGCTCGACACTCTGAGTATATTGCGGCGATGCTACGTAGCCGCATGTCTGAGAGCAAGAGTTTGCAGGTGAAATTTGAGTACTTGTCTTTAGAGCAGCTACGCTGGATTCGCGATTATGTGGGACATTCGGCCAAAGACGATAGGCCTATTCTCACCTTTGACAATGCAGCTAGTGTTCTAAGTACTTTGGACTACCTCTGCATGCGAGACGCAATGCATATGTGTGAAGTGGACCTCGCAAACCAGCTGATTATCGAGAACAGTGACAAGCTTTGCAAGGCGTACGAGCTTATCCAGAAATTTAATCTAGTCCTTCTGAAAGAAGCTGTATTGCAACTCTTGTGCCAACTCTACATTCTAAAACCCCTGTCGTGGAACGCGAAAATGCTGAAGAAGCTGCCTGCGGAATACCTGAACGAGATTTTCATGCATGACAGTTTCCCACCAAATTCTGAAGAGAAAGACATTGTTGAGTTAGTCTTTAAATGGCTGGCCTTCAACGAGCCAAACCATGCCGATGTTAACAAAGCCATCGACCTGATTTTTGCCCCAGCTCTGGAACTGATACATGTTGAGCGGCTCCATCATAGCATTCAGAAACTTCCGTGTGCAAAGCATGTGGTAGACAAGTTAAAAAGTCGGATAAAACAGTTCCAGAAGTTTCCACACCAGTACCTTCGGGACAAAAAGGATTTATCACCACACAAATTTCGTAAACCTATTGAGTCTGTGTTTCGGTGTGGAGGAATTGGAGGATGCTGTGTATCAACAGCAGTTAGTTACGTTGCCTTTGACTGTATCGACAAAGTACTTGCAAACTTTGTCAAGGACAAGGAGTATGACCACCTAAATATTCTTCAGTGTCATGACTCTATAGAACCGGCTCCAGTGCCTCTTATTGAGTGTGGATCTTGTACAATGGACAACATATTGTATGTAGCTGGTGGACAGTCCAGGTATACTATTACTGGAAAGTTTGCTAAGAAAACTGTTTATCGATACATTCCTTATAGAAAACTATGGCAGCAGGTAAGTTATGTTTTATGTCTTTTTCTTTCGTCCTGATGATTTTGTAACTAATTGACCTCTGTTATAAAAAAAAAAATAATGGTAATAATTTATGTATTTCTATAATTGACTTGTACTTATAAAATATAAAACTTTTGTTGCCTCATACTTTCTTGTTTATGTTCAGTAATTCCTGAATATTAAACTAAAGAAATAATTTTATATTCATCCTTCAGTAGTTATTTATCAAGTTTAAAATAACATAAAATTCTATTTATACTCTACATCACTACAAGTGTTCACTCCTTAGAGATGGGCAACCACATCACTACAAGTGTTCACTCCTTAGAGATGGGCAACCACATCACTACAAGTGTTCACTCCTTAGAGATGGGCAACCACATCACTACAAGTGTTCACTCCTTAGAGATGGGCAACCACATCACTACAAGTGTTCACTCCTTAGAGATGGGTAACCACATCACTAGGAGTCTTCACTTCCTAGAGATAAACAATTCTCTCATCTGTGTTTTATTTTGTTATTTAAATACTAAAGTTCAGCCAATACAAGGCTTGAGAGCTACTAAAGGTAGACGGTTACTATTAAAATGGTTACAATCAATGAAGTGTGTGATGTGCTTACTTTTCTAAACGTAACACAAGGCCGAAAGTATGGGGCACTCAGTGAGGATTGAAATTTCTATTGTCATAATTGATTTAGCAAGACAAGCTTGCTAGATATTACATGACAATGAAGTGTCCAGTGATGTCTGTTATATGGATGAAAGAGGAATAGGTAGAAAGGGAAAATTATGAGGATAAGGAGGATAATGATTGACCTGTGACTTTGAAGAGGGTAAGATTGTAAGATTGTGCTTTGGGAAGTATTCACACAGGAGTCTGTTTCAAAAAGTTACAGTTCTTGGGAAAGACAGATATAGAAATGTAACACACACACACGCACACACACACACACACACACACACACAAATTATGCTTTATAGACATGGATAAAAAAATGTTAGTAAATCATTACATGTAATTCAAAGATGATGACAGTAATTTTTTTCTCTCTCTTTTTTTTAAAACTTGTTCCTTTAAGACAAAGACAGTCATGGCTCTCCACGACCTCATTTACTTTAATATCTGTAAATTTTTGTTACCTTCTTCATGGTTTCAATTGAGAATTATCCTTCTCCTAGACTTGTTAGGAGTATGGCCATATCAAGTTGAAACACTGGTTCCTGTATGATCACTGAAGTTGAGCAATGCCAAGCCATTTTTCTGTCCCTTATTATTATTAAATGTAATTTTTTTTTAAATTGGTATCACCCCAAGCAAGGCAGTAAAGCCACTAAGACACAAAAGGTTACAGGGTGTGGAAAAATTAGGAACAGAAACATTAATAATGAGCAGAAAGTAAAAAGAGTACAGGACAGTAGATAGTGATTGACATTGCATTTAAATTTTTGCAGATTACTGTTGGCTTGGAGCCAGAAGAGAGTTCTACAAGTGAGAAGTATGAAAAAAAGAAACTTAGCATTTGTGGTTATAGTGAGATTAACTGTTTCCTTATAAAGAAACATTAGGCATTTGTTGACTAAATAGTTAGCATTATTGTCAGTTGATATTTATAAAATCTTTCTCTTAAAACAGTTTTCCAGGGAAATAGACTTCTGAAGTCTACTTTTATTGCTCTTTCTAATATTGATTGGAGGTGAGGTTTCTTCCTAACCTTTTGTTTAAAATAGTGTGGGAAGTCAACCTCTTGATTGTTATTTTCTCTTTGAATTACATGTTCTCTCCATTTTAGTTGTTCCTACTGTTGTAAGTCTTCAAGTGATGAGGTTTCTGTTACTTCGTAAAGCTCTTTGTGATTCTGTAGCACTAGTCTTTAAGATCAAAAACTGAGAATATATTTTAAGTCCTTACTATTATTAGGTTTTCATATGTGAGTTTTTAAATATATTTTTCCAATCATATTAACATGGCGTATTTTGGATCAGTTTATTACTTTAATAACAATAGAAAACCGATCCCCCATTTTATGTTCAGTAGACTCTTATATTAATGCTACTTAACCCATTACTATTATTAGGCTTTCACCTTTGAACATTTGACTATATGCTTTCCAATTAATATGTAGTATTTCTGGAGGGGATCATTTTATTACTTAATAACAATAGAAAACTGATCCTTTACTTTATGTCCAGTAGAATCTTACATTAATACTACTTTACCCATATCATTAACAAATTATGCTGTGATTTTTAAGTTCTTACTGTTATTACAAGGATTTTAAATGTGAGTCTTTGAACATATTATAGTTTACACATTTATGATAAAATCCAAAGAAGAATCTGCAATGTTATAAGTCATGACCTGGTATCTCATCTTCAGCCACTTTCCCACTGCTGTAATGTAGCTTCCTTATACCCTGTATTTTTCTTTTTGATACTTGAGCTTTACAAATTTAAGGAGAGTACTAGATTGGCAGCTAGGTCTCATCGTTTTACAGTTGAAATGGTTAATTGTTTCTTCCCTCGTACTTCTCTTCCAGCTTCTTGCTTTCCAGTTCAATTTGATCTTCAAAAATTTAAATGCCATGTCAATTGCATTTCTTTTTCTGATTTTTTTTTTATTGTTCTCTCTCCCTAATAATATCTTTCTTTTACCCACAGTAACTCTTAGTGGCTTTGTCTTATTTGAAGTGAAATGATTAAAAAAATGTACCAATATCCTCCATTTTTATTTTTTATTGATCTAAACAGTCCACAATTCTTGTAAGAAAGACACTGCCACTTGATATCACAAGTTATTTTCCTTGCATTAATGACCTTAACAATTACAGACAAAAATGTACACTTCTATTATATAAATATATTGTATTATATAGTAAAACATTTAGAAAGGCTTTATTCAATTGCAAAGAGAAGTTGATTCTGAAAGGTTTGCAGTTCTGGTGGTCAGGTTTTAGTTTTAAACCATCAGAATTGGTAACTGATGATCACTCACATTTGGATTTCCTTCTGTTTCTCCCTCAAATTCTGAAAGCAGTTTAAGTTGGTTTGTGACCCAGTTTAAAACACTGCCTTGAAGTTTCTGAAAACTCAATACCTATATCCACTGTTATAATATCTGAAACAAAAGGTACAGCTAAATAGCCCTGAGAGTGGTTTAATCACACACACACACACACATATATAGGTAAAGATGTGTTTGGTAATTCGTATGGGTAATTCCAGGGAGGATATAATCCAGAGAGCTCAATGTAAAAACAGAGCAAATATTAATTATAATAAGAAACAGACAACTTTAAGGGTTCATGGTGATTTATAATTTACTTCCTTAGAATTGTAATTCTAATTCCTCAGACCAACATTTTCATACAAAATTCTATGTGAATGTGTGTGTGCATTAGGTATCTGCAACAGTTATCAATGAAGAACGGTCTACAACAATGTATTTATTCTCTTGTTTTCAAATAATAGTAGAGGAAATTTTTGTGAACACCTAATATATTATTTACATGTACTGTAATATCTACGATATATTTTTTTAACTCCCAATCTATTATTCATATATAGATTTTATATGTCCCTGTCCTATCTATCTATCTATCTATCTATCTATCTATCTATATATATATATATATCTATCTATCTATCTATCTATATATATATATATATATATATTATATTATGAAACAGACAACTTTAAGGGTTCCTGGTGATTATAATTTATTTCAATTCTTAGGAAATAAATTATAATCACCATGAACCTTTAAAGTTGTCTGTTTCTTAATATAATTTATATATATACATATATATAAATCTACATGTATGTAAATTTGAATAGTATTGATAATGATCTGATATATAATAATATAGTGAAGGCAATTATCAGTAAAAAAAACAAAAAATACTTTTAATACAGGCTAGTATACATACTTTGAAGCAAACAGCTCATTAAACCAACAAACAGTAGTCAATGTTCAAGAGTTTAAGATACAGAGCTAGACAAAGATGAAAAGAGAAAAAAAAGTAGCGGTTCATTTAGATAAGGTTAAGAGACAAACAGAAAGATAGAAAAGTATGTAAATATTGAGAGCAAAAGCAAGTGGCAGCATGAGCCAATTATCTTGTGACTAAGCATTTACAACATTCCCTTTTACAAATTATCTTTAAATAAAGCTTAAAATAATTATATTATTATTGCCCTTCTTCATATGTTTTTTTGATCTTGGGCGAATTTTTAAGAAAAAAGATACAATGCATTGACCAAGAAAAGATTAAAAAAAATGTTGTGATGTTTCGTCAGATTTTAAGGAATAGGTTGGGCTGAGAACATTTCTGTTTTCAGCACCAATTTGTATAAGTCTCTTAATGACGACTATGTATTATTTGGTATGATTCCTGTGGGGCCTAGTGTTTTTAGATAGAAAGTACTTTTCTTGGTGTTTTTATTTGTATATTAAACAACAATATTAGTTTTATCTTCCTTTTTTTATTTTTATTTTTCATTATTTTTTGCTATTATTTTTTATCTACAATATTTGATAGTATATAAGAACCTGTACTGTTTCCATTTTTAATATTACAATATTATGAAGTTAGGTCGCAGACAAATTTTGGTAGTCTGAGTAAATGTTAACCTACCCCACACACAAGCTGCTAGTGGCCTGCTGGCGAGCCTCTAGTGGTAACATTGCCAAGAGGAACACGTAGGCGATCTACCAGCGGTCTACCAGTGGTAAATGCTTGTGGCATGCCATCTAGTGGCAGATTGGTGGCTTTACCTCAACTTAGGAGATTATTTATTTTTTCATTTTTATGGTAGGGATGAAGGATTTTATATGCCATCAGATGTATGCTTTTCTTCTCTTCTCCCCATCAGACACTACAATCTTAATCTCTTTAAGTCTAGAATCAATCATTATCTTTTATCCCCCATATCATCATAATCTTCACTTCCGAGTCCCTTTTCATATTCATATCACACACCTCATTCAGTGACCCTTA